CATTGCTTTTTCATAAAATAAAGGTCAGTTTTGCATTCTTCATTCAATTTGGAAGAAAAAAGCTCTATTTCGCTTTTCTGTACGACCACCCTGTATGTACATATTATACCAGTATATGTTTTTACTTCTCTTCCGAAATATTTAATATTAAATTATTTGACGTTAAACAAAAGGTTGCTCCAATAACAAGAAAATCCTTTTAAAAATGGTTGATGAAATTGACCACTACCTTGACACATTTTAGGCATTTCAGTTCGCCGACGGAAAGAGAAAGCAACGGGGGATGTCACGGAGTTGATGGGGGGTGCATCTGGGTTTAGGGTTTGGTTAGTTAGGGCTTCGGAAACTTTGCACATAATAAAAATCCAAAGATAAGACAGCTTAATGGCCAATTAGGTCTAGGGAATGCCTTGTTTTATCAGCGTTAGCTAGGGGAAAGCAGACTTAAGGGTTTAGCTCTCTTGCCTTGGAAACTCATATATTATTTAATATATCGACGTCACAAGGCATATTTAAGGGAACTTCTGCTCCTGTAGGTTTGGATGAGCGAACGTAAATCTTCTTTTACATGTTTATATGTTTATAAAAATGTGTTTTGCGTTAATTTTTACCTCGTAGAAGATTTTGGGACACTGTAATTTAATCCTAACGTTTGATTCATGATAATTATCCGCTTTTAATTAGATAATTTCAATTAACCGAAACAAAGACTAACCTAGCAGTAATACGAAGACATTTTTCCTTTCGGTACAAAGTCCTTACGAATCCACTTAGATACTGGCAATTATAGAGGAAACAAGCACGGCGATAGCTGTAAAGTTTTTATTGGTCGAAATAATAACGACCGACACGCCATAAAATACACACTAATTGTCCCACGTTAATTAAAAGCGTGTCTCTGAGGTTCTAATTAAAAATGATACAGAACGGGGTTGTCCTTTATCGCTGGAAATTCACAGTCGTATAAATATTCCACGCCCAAAGACTTTCTCTACTGTTCCGATTCTTTCTGGTTTTTGTGGGCTTTTGCTTTGAAGGTTTTTCACGGGCGTTTGAAGAGTTTCAATGAGGGAAACAGTTTCACACAAACGTTTCGGTTCTACTAAATAATTTCGGTAATTTTACAGACCGAGGGTCATATTTGTTCTCGTTTTCAAAGCCAAAATTTCCGTTTGCTAATTAACTGCAGATACAATCAATTTGGTACTGCTAGACCTCTAATTTAAACTTTTTAAAGCTAGGCTAATAATATACAAGTACCTAGTTTCAAAAAGTTCACAACTGACATGATGATTTTGTGCTTAAATTTTAATTTTTTTACGGGCATGCCGAGGTACGATAAAGTATAGGCCTTACAGCTTCGGGAAAAATATTTGGATTAATAAATCGACCAAGAGCAATCGCTGGAAATAGTTTTCAAGTACACAGCTCGGCCGCTAGGGGGAGCAATCTACATACCAATACCACAGAGTTGAATTTTTCTCTCGTGGTTGATTATTATTCAAAAATTTTTTCCTGAAGTTGTAGGGCCTATACTTTCTGTAATATCGTACCTCGCCGACCTTAGTGGGACACCCTGTCAACTCCTGTATTGCAAAAGTAAACCGACGATATTTCATACAAAACTTGAGACGAGCGCGTAAAAGACACATCATAACAACTCCGTTAACGTTTTATTTTTGACCTACACGAACATTAAGCTTCTCTGCGACAGATAACATAAAGGGAGTATCTCCAAATGTCGATTTTCTTCCCATTTACGACGATTCTAACGCACGGCCCATTTCGAAAATGATGCCGTTGCGGATCACAAAGTACTCTCAATGATCGATAAGATGAGATACTAGCGGTACAATGGAGAGGAATTGGGGACGTTATTGTAACGGAGTAACTCTTACAGGGTTGTCCCTTTTAGTTATATTTGCTTTGCTTTTAATTCCTCAAATATTATAAATAACTGCAATCGATAGGAATTGAAAAGGTACTGATAGATTCAACATGTCTTCTATTTGAACTTAGCAAAAATAGATATAAATTACTTTTCTCAGAAACCTTACGGAACTTATAAAGCGTCCTGCAATATTTCTCTCTTGTACATATTGTCCAACACCGCCTCTAATTCGTTACTATCTTTCTTGTTCTCATATAATAGCAATTCTATTGAAAACACCCATTGTACCCATTGTCTCTAATCCAATATTGTACCATGTTTTCGTTTTCGCCGAGTTCAAAGTAATTTCGTTAAGCAAAGTTCATTTATTATTCAGCAGCTCTAAGTTTGAGTTAAGGTTTAAAACGTTAAGTGGGGCCTACATCATTTACAACTGTTAATAATGAAAGTAGTTTACCTAATGGGAGCTAAGAGAATTACAGGGCTATAAGTCTTCTTACTGAGATAAATTTATTTGTTTATTTATTTGATATTACGTGAGGTACAATGTAAAAGTTCATTTAATTATTCTCGTTAAAAATTTAATGACTAAACAAAGTTATCGGACATACATTACAATAACACCAAATGTACTTAGAAAACCATTTTTGTGAAATGTAAATGTAATTCGTTAAATTTTCCTTGGATTAGATTAGATTGTCAGAACACCAAGTCTAATTGCAGTAATTATTTTAAAAAAGGTCATTGTAACTTATAAAATTGCAAAAAAATTAAGTAAATACATTTATAGATTTAAGGAAATGAATCTATGTCAACAAAAGTTCAGCTACCGCACAGCAAATTATATTATTTACACAATTGTGGGTTTATAATTTATATAGAAAAAAGACTATCTATAATTTATTTCACATATTACCAACAAATTGTATTTAAATTATTGTAGATGTAAATGGTGATAAAGCCATATGAGTAACTTTACTCATATGGATAAAGCTCTTACTATATCCCAATATTTCTTCAATAATTTCCATAAAAGATAAAGGAAATG